TCAGTTTACGTTTCCCCTGTTCCGTCAGCTCAGATTCCTCCCAGCTGTGTTGCCCTCCTGTTTCTCATCCCCTGATTACTGGTGTGTGTATTTAAGCCTTGTGTGTTCTCCTGCCTGTTGCTGGTTTGTCTGTGTAATGCTGTGTCAGTCTGTTACCCTGTGTTCCACGGTGTCCTGTTCCTTGGCTGCTTCTCATCCCGTTGTCATATGCTCCCAGGTCTGTTATTTTTAGTTATCCCAGTTTAGGTGTATTTAGTTACTTGTTATGCCCCACTGTTTGTTTGCCACTACACCTCTGTAAATAAAACCACCGGTATCTCATCCACTGCCTGCATCTTGGGTCCTTCTTCCAACTCCACGCGGCTCGCCTCGGCAGCCGTGACAATTAAAGCTTCCGCTATAATAATGCCTCATTAGAGGGCACCTTGGTTAAGCTAAATGTATAATTATAGATTTTGTTAACTGTGGGAAATGTCTTTTATCCATCTTTTAATTAGTGTGTTATTTCCTCTTGTTTCTCAGGTACGGTAACCGTGGACACAACCAACCGTGCATCCATAATGGGACAGAGCGCTGCTTCATCACCAGTCAGAATCACGGCTTCGCTGTCGACCCTGACACTTTGCCCAAAGACTGGGACGTGCTCTTCACAAATGCTAACGACCACACCAACGAGGGCATCGTACACAACACAAAGCCTCTGTTCAGGTAACAGTCTGTGAAAGATGGAGTCCAGTGGTGATTCACTCTAGAAGTGACTGGTTCTGGTGCCTTAAGTGCCTCTGTACTGGCCGGAAAAAACCCAATTAAATCATTTGTGGTCCCTTTCATCCAGTGTTCAGTTCCACCCAGAGCACATGGCTGGTCCTACAGATCTGGTCGGCCTGTTTGATGTCTTCATTGAAACGGTGAAAGACCATAAAGAGGGCAACACTGGAAAATCTGGTATTCCAATTTAACTTTCATTTTTTATCATCTTAAATGTTGTGGTGCATATTAGTTTGTCTAAAGTACTTTTGTAGTTTTCAGTAGTAATTGGTATTTAATAGTAGTAATGTAACTATGCCTGTGAAGAAGAGAAACCCTTGTAAGTCTGGCTTGTGTAACAACTAATAAGTAGCAATTTGTGTGATATTTTTCCAGTGAAGCAGCGTCTGATGGACCACCTCACTTTCACTGGTTCCCCAAAGGCTGAAGGGCATGTCAGATCCAAAAAAGTCCTCATCCTAGGCTCAGGTGGACTGTCCATCGGCCAAGCTGGAGAGTTTGATTACTCCGGCTCGCAGGTCTGTGAAACA